ACACACATACACATATACACACATACACACATACACACATACACACACAGATAGCAAGAACAGGCCGAAAATTTCCACATTTGTTACAGATTGGAAATGTTGATACTGTTTTCATCATAGGACTTCCAATACATGTTCAGATGTACTAAACAGGCGATGCCTTAGCTCGTTTCTGATGGATTCTAAATTTGTTACGAAACTTATTTTTATTTTTTACTTTGATTGTTTTACATAGTAATTTTTTTTTTCGAAAGTTTTCCGCTGATCGCAACTTTTCGAATTCATCTTATGATATATTTGATTTAAAGCATTACTGCATTTTAGTAAAAATTTCGGAAAATTTTAAATGAAAAAGAAACTGGCATTTATTTTCCTCTTCAAACTAAGCTAATAAGACACTGAGAATTTTTGAAATTGAGCACTTATTATAAATTAGTTGGCAAGTTTAATTTCTCAAATGTTCAGGTTGTCTATTTAAGATCATTGGTACTACGGCACACTCTGGTGAGATGAAAATTCTGCAAAGATCGCTTGACAACTGTCTATTTCATTTTTTCTAATTTTCTTTTTCCCAGTTTAGTATTTTTCTGTTATTTGTTTCTTGAAATCATCATAAAAAAATCGAGTCGAGTGGGATTGATAGTCATAATTGATTTCTTTGAAGTTCTTTATTATAATTATATTAATTTGTATTAATTATTATGCTATTGGGATTAAATTGTTGGAAACAGAATTCTACTGTTGCTTTCACCAAGAATTCGCTTAATTATTTTAATGATTTTAATTTCATTTCATAAATAAAAAAGCTTATATAATTTTAATTATTCATACTTCATTGATTATTACAAGAACGCGTAGCAATGCATAAAGGACAGCCTCGCATTTCACTTTCATAATTTTTCATTAAATTTCCAAAAACAACAACTCAACATTATTAAAGGTTGAATCTCATGCAAGAGATCATTTACCGTAATTTACTGATGTCAGCTCATCGATCATCGATTGTTTGAAGCTTGTTGTACAACCAGGAGTTAATTATTATTGCATAGTTATTATAATTTCTTAAATACAAATTTTCATTTTTTGATGAAGATTTCATTTGTAATCATTGATTTGATATACTGTAATAATTTTCCAATAATGTTTAATAGAATTCCTCAATATGCAAAGAATTCGGGTCTGTTTGAAACAAGTTTTTAGTTGAGAGACATTTGAAATTGACATTCAAAGTAAAATAATGATAGAAACTTCAGGAATAAAATATGAATTTGTAGAGTATTAAATTTTTCGATCATATTTTTTACACAATTAGCAATGAACCTTCCATTTACAAAATACAAAAATAGATTTTATTTCTAACGATGTATTTTTATGGCTTAAATTTTTTCTTTTTTTGAATTGATTCTTTGATAATAATCGTTAATATTAAGACAGCTTTGCGATATTTAAAATAATCTGTTCAAAATTAGCTACTTTTTATTTCTTTTTTTTATTTCATAGTAGCTTTTCAAGCTATTTTTTTCGTAAACGACGGTGGTACAAAAATTTTTGATTCTGAAGATATGATTAATTTTGTGATTCAAATTTGTTTCGCTTTAAGTGAAGACAGTCTTATCGGTTTTTTTATAACAGTAGGTATTTTAGAATTATTGCCTTCAAATTAAAAGAATGTACATTCTAGAATATTTGTTTTTTATCGAATTAATTCTTTAATTGATGTGGGTTCCAATAAAAAAAGTTATAACTTTTATAAATATCCATTTTACACTTATCCATTTCTAATGATTTGCTTTTATTTTTTTTTTTTGCTTATTTTAAATTCATTTTTAGAATACTTTTTAAGCTGTGAATTATTTTCTTTTTATTTTCTTTTCCCTATTACAACACATACAATACTTTTCATTATTTGTTTTTATTTCTTTTTCTTTTTGAAGTTATTTGAAGATACGAAATTATTGTCGGATAAGAAAATATTTTTTAAAAATATATTTTCTCGAAAGAAAACAAATAGAAAATATATTTCGGAAAATTGGCTCATTTTTTGAAAATTTTTGTTGGATTTCGGAATCTGCATGATTTTGTTAAAATCCGTAATGCATAAAGACAGATTTAGTGATTAGTTCTTGCAAAGCTATGCATTCTTCATATAACTTCCATAACTACTTATTTTGGATGCTAATTGAATATAGTGGCCTTCTCGAAAATTGCAAAATCTTCGTTTTGAATGAAGTGGAATTATATCTTTCAGAGCTGCTTTAATTGAGCAAAAAAAAGTCGACCAGCAAGAAGTCGAATTTTTGGAGTACACTGAATGTCGATAAGCTGTTCAGCATTGAATCAAATAATTCCGCCATCAACCAGAAGTTCCGGCGATGAATTGACAAATGGAACTTTTGATTCTGCTGATACGTCAAGTAGCAGTTCAGATTCACTGTTAGCACCGGAACATGATGATCTGGATTTCCGGATTCGACAACGACTGGAAGCTTCTCGACAAGGAATGTTGCAGTTAGAAGCGCTTCGCAGAAAACACCAAAAATTGATGGAGGTTAGAATTGTTTTTAATTTTTGCTTCAAGTACTTGATATAAATTTTAAAAAGATTTTTTCTCTTCAGGAAATGCGTATTCGTCTACCGATTAGTAAGGAACGACCGTGTAATGGTTCTGGAAAGTATAAAGAGTCATCAATTGTAAATTCTCAAACTGAGGTTAGCATTACTTTTTTAGTTTTTTTAAGTGATTTGCTCGTTGACCCCATAATTTTAAAGATTCCGGAATAAATGAAATGATAGAATCAGATGACTGATTGAATGAAGAATAAAAATTAGGAAAATATCCTTTTCTGATCTTATCAGATTTCATGTTAGTATTCTTTGGCTTTTAATTGATAGTGTCAAAAAGCACTGATAATATGCAGTGAAGGATATTTAGATCCTATCCGATTATTTTAATTCACTTTAGTCTTTTGTGGAACAAAATATAAGTGGATTTCATTTCGTAACAATAAAAGACTAGTATATTTCAAGAATTTTGCAAAGTTTTTGGGGAAGATTCTATTTTGCTGACCTCATTTATGTAGATGAAAGAGAAGAGTGTAGATTTCAATGAGAAATGTGAATTGTGTATCTTTTAAAATTTTAAATAAACTGATGATACTAAATATCATTTCATTGTTCACCTTTCTTCAGTCGCTTATCTATTTGTTCGGTTTTGTCTATCCGTTTTGATGAGAAAATATAACATGATAGTATGTGTTGGTATGGTCACTATCACTAACTGCAATTTGTGTTCTTTTCTCATTCCTTCTATATCCCTAATTATATTATATAATTTTGGGAGTTAGTCCGTTCTTGTACCGCTGACCTCATTTCATGGTAGCAGCTGTTATAATGATGATGGAAGCGATCAGTTGGTTGATTTAATGATAAAACTGGAAATTAGTGCACAAAGAGAGCATCATATTTCATAACTGAATTATTCGATCATAATGAAGTTACGTGATCCGAATATAATATCATACTGGCAGGGTCATCCCCTTAAACTTCTATTATATCTTCAAAAATTGTCATATTTTTGCGGGATGTCGACTAATCACAGCTTTTTGTGAAATCGGCATCTTTCTGCAACAAAGCAGATCATTTGCGTCAAAAATCTAAAAGGGAAAGGGAAAAGAATGAAAGAAATTGATTGCAAAGTTCAAGAGATAAATTACTACGAATAAATTTCAAGATTCAAAAAATTGTGTATCTTTTGTTAACTTACTTTTAAATTTCTCAATGGATTGTTGGTTCAGAGCTATATAAAGATACTATTTTCTGCATGTAATTCAAAAACAATTGATCAAAGGTTAAGGATTAGGGGATTGTTGGAAGGTGGTTTGAATTGTTTAATCTATTCACCTAAATAATGAAAAATAGTGCCGAAGATCGCATCCATTATGAATTTTAACACCTGAAGGTCAAAAAAACAATCACTGGATTGATTCTAAAGCATATAGTGTGTTGCGAAATGTGCAAAATAATTTCCATGACGAAGTAATGCACGTAATTTGAATCAAAAAAGACAAAAAATTTTCCAGTAGATTTGTATTAATTCATGTAAGTTTTATTGACTGTTTATGGATTTAATCAATTTTTATGTTCAGATCAAGTTGAACGATTTACGATGTGACAGTCCAATGAGCTGTTGCATAAGTCATCGATCATCTATTAGCATGGATTCCGGATGTGTTTCACTTTCTTCCGACTTTAGGTACCATTTAGAAATACGGAAGTTTTATTGCCTATTTATGGATATTCCAAATTTTAGCAACAATAAACATAAGTGGAATTCGAAAATTAGGAAACGATATTATTTTGGAATGAAAGAGGAACTGAAGAAAAGATAAATCACATTTACACATATTCTAATAGATGTGATTATATGTGAATTTGCAGCAGTCATTCACCAATGCTTTCTAATACAAACCGAAAATTCTCATTGGAAGATCAACGAAAGAAAACTGACCAGAATGTGACCACTGGAAAGGTTGAAACGGATGAAAATCCGCAACTTGTGGTGAATTTTTATATATTTGTCAATATTTTCTTTATTAATTTCACTGTTAAATGTCATTTCATTTCGAATGATAGATTCGTGCTTGTCTGTTTGAATATTCTTTCTCATTTTCTGCCCCAAATAGCTTCCTGAATCTCTCGTATTCCGAAGTGTTACAAACTTAACTCTTTCAAACAGTTCATAATTCGTCGTAAAATCTTTTCATCTTCAATATTTCATAGGCTAAGGCAATTGAAAGTACCACAGCGATGCGCTGTCACAGAATAAAGTGTTGCACGAATTGGTCAAGATCGAAATCGATGTGCTTCAATGATTCCGATGAAAACAACGCCGTTGTTATCGATTCACTTTCATTTTCACAGATCACTCCACCGCCAATTCATCGGAAATTTTTTACCGTTGGAAGGTCAGAAAGTGTTCAGGTAAGTAATAGTGTGGCGGATAATATGAGAATTCGATGAATACTAAATATTTCAACAGTTTGTAAGCATATTATATCATAGGTGTAACATAAAATATTTCATCACCCAAAGTATTATCTGGAATGTTTACTCGTGACCTTTAGATATTGATTGGCAATTAATCGACACTTCAAACTTCCCATATATTTTACTTATTTCTTCAAGTTTTTATTGCGTCTCTTAAGATGATGCATTATTTTACAGCCGCACAAATTTAGAGATGAAAAAATAATCAGTTAATTTCAGACTCGTCCGTGTTTGGCCGATATCCATTCTCCGCAAAAGGAACAATCGCCGATATGTTTTCCGATTAATCAATCGTCGGTACTGAATGCTAAACCAATCGCCATATCATTATCATCGAAGATACCAACATCTCCGTGTATGAGACTTAGAGATCCTCAGGTATGTTTTCGTTATTTTAAATTTTTTTTCATCATAATCCTAACGAAACTGATCAAAATTAAACGAAATTGAATTTTTAGATACCATTGCAAAATTCACGAGTTATATCACATCCCGATAGTCAATCAATTTTTCACGCAAGCCGAATATTCGTTGATCGTTCGCCACGCATTGTGCAGTGTCGCAAACAACGCATGAACATTGAAAGGTACGATTCAGATGAGGAAAGTCCACGACTATTGCGCGCACAGCCAGCTGTTGTCCTTAGCAGGCAAGGAAATATTTATATTGAATAATGATAAATCTATTAAGTTTAAATTTGTCAAGCTTTCGAAAGAAAGAATGCGATAGAAACAGCGAATAAATATGTATATTAAAATTTTAAAAAATAAAAGGGCAGTTCTGATAGGTGAAATAATTCAAACTTTAATTTAATTTTTTATAAACTTTAGTTTAACTTATTGAAAGAAATTTTTGATTTCTCTTAGTAGATGGCAACATTTAAATAATTTCTAAGTTACAAAGTACATTTTCATTCACACTTTCATATTCAGTATTTTATAGGCAGCAAAGTTATGCGCATTCGAATGAAAGTTCACCATGTGAACTACGGAAAGTAGAAAATGTCAGTTCACAATCAAATATCGCTGTTCTGGAATATCATCAGCAGCTCAATCGGTAAATTCACCTAGCATTATTTGCTTCTCATATGTTTCAATTCAGGAATGTTATTTGTTGCAAAATGTTTAACTTAGAAGTTTTTCAAATAAACCATAAAATACGGAATAAAATCGGCTATTTTTTAACTGTTAATTGTTGTCATTGAAAAGCGTCATAACTTCCAGTTCTGAAAGTTCGCGGAGTTCCGAAACAGCTGTATCTGATCGACTTCGTCGTCGAAAAATGGAAAAAGACTGGAAGGAATCTGAGGATCTGTAGAAATTAAGGAAAATCATTTTCAAAAGATATAGTATTGTATGTGGAATAATTCATTACTATAAAATTTTACTTCTTTTGTACTGGATTACTTGTATTCTCCGGTATTATTTAGTATGGATAGAAAGGCACAACTTTACCCGACATTAATAACATTAGTTCGATGTCTTAAATAAAATCTATCTGGGACAACTTGTAAAATTCTCCACTGTAAATTTAACTACTGCAGTGGCCTAAAAACAGATTAACACATCATTGCGGCAGTCCAATAATTTGAAATATATAGCAATTCATATCCATTACAAATCGTAAATCCACGACCTCTAAGAAAAACAAAATTTGTTAATTGATTGACCATTTGGTTGCGCAAAGCGGTTTGGTGAGCATATATTTACCCCTTTTACAAGAAGGCATTTTAAAGCTGATTTTTATACGAATTTATTGCGCATTTCTAGCATTCATACATTCTGTACTTTGTTTCGAAATGTCATAGCAATATATTTATATTTCGCTGTAATACCAACCGTGATAATAATTTCTTATTGCTAATGAAAATTTGTTCAACACTTTGCATAAAGATAACCAAGTAGCGTAAATTAACCAAAAATACGTAAAATGTAGGAGATTTTGAGAAATTGTTTCAAAATCACGTCAGAACGCGTTCCAATCAACGGTGAGAACGCTTTTAAAAGTTGTTATTAAGAAAAATTTGTTTTCGGATTGTAAAGACTTTTGGAGAATTGCATAGAAGTTATTGCGAAAATTTGACCACAGATGTGTTGGAATGGTATCCGAATATGTTGGATTTATTAAAAATGAAAATTTTATCATTTATTATCACATTGTTCCTCATCCTTGTGTTTTCGCTTCATATGGTCGTACAGGAATGTACTGTGCAAAAATAATTTGTCGCAACGATCACACTAAAAAATGCGAAATTAGAAATTTCACTTTCCTAAAAAGCTTAAAATTTATTCATCTTAACAAATTAAATTCTAGGAAATTCTTAAAATTTCATACAGTTTGAACGTGTACAATTTTTGGAAAGCAGAAAATTTTCTTCAGAAAAAAATGTCGTTATTTTATACGGAAAATTGAATAATGATAACCTTAAATAGTGAATTTATTGTTTCCGGTCCACTGACAAGCTCTTTTCGTAATTTCGAATTCTCCGTACTTACACATTTCAAACGGTTTTGTAACTCTTCCACTTGTTTTACAAGTTCTGCTTGTGTTTTCTAAAATTATAGCAATAAAAAAATTCATTAAACTTTAAATTTCTAATCTCTTCTCTTTTTTCTCAGAATACTGTTGTATACATGAAGCACTGTATCACATCCATTGAATAGAATGTAATTTATAAAAGGATAAAAGTCATGCAAACAATGATCGACCTGACGAAAAAAGAGTTGAAAAAAGTTGCATTCCACCTCAGTGAATCGGTCAAAAATGCAGGCAGTGTGCAGGAACCTGCCATTGTCAGTTAAATTCTTCGTCAAACAGAGTTTGAACCGGAGATTAAAAAAGTCGTTCGGTTATTTTGCTCGCTTCAGCGCACCTGTTCCATTAGTTTCACGCTAAGCGCAAGCATAGCTTGCAATACACAACAGTTCAGACTTATTCCAATGCTTAATTACAGAGAATGCTATCCGATCATAACTCCAAAATTGCCTTATCTCTGTCAATTGAATTATGACTAATAATGTAAACTGATTAGATCAACTTGCAAGTCACCTCGTTAGTCCAGCAGAGATTTGTCTTCGAATATTGCAAGATATTATCAATCCCCATTTTGCGGCCTTTTTTTCAAAATAGTTAAGTGTTACATGAATTGACAAACTATTAAAATATTTTCACTTACCAAAATGTATTCAATTTGCAGCTGAGCTATTCGAAACATTTTTAACAACCTTTCAATAGTACAATCGTCGCCCTTAACAAATATTTTCATCAAAAAAAATGATTAGCATACAGTGCTATGGTAGGTGTATGAAACTTCATACAAAAACCATTTTTGTATTTTATCTTAAACTCGTTTCAAATTATTTGCCTATGATATATCACTCGTTCCATAATACTCTATCTGTATGATTTATTACAAAAATATAAATTGATTTTTGTAATTTTAGAATTATATTCGAATTCGAGCAAGAAGATGTCTCTTCAAGTTCTTTTAAAAATAAAATTAAGAATTTTTGACAACAATTTTTACCGTTTCGTCAATTTTACTCAGAACAATGGATGGTAAAGCTCTTTGAAGAACATCGTAACTCCCAATACCTTCTTCCAGAAGACTTAAACTTATTTCATCTGAAAACGATACGAATTTGATAACATTCTAATTAATCAAAGATGAAAAACTTTTTATTACTAATGATATTGAGAAGTAAAATTTAAGTTATTGCAACGGATTTCAAAAATGTAATTGAAGCAAATAAAACTTACCGATAAGCTTCCAATCAGGTCTATGATGATGATTAAGCATAATTAATCACACAGTGTTTTAAGCCAAGCACAACATATTTTAATCATTACCGATAAGGGAGGTGACATACATCATCGGCAGATCAACGCCATGAATATTGAAAAGCAGAATAGTGCCATCGTCATGGTTACCTTGCCATTATATCAATAGGAAGTAAGCACGAGAAAAGAAAAACAGCTGCAAATTATGTCTTTTGAATACATTATTGATTTTTATACATTTATTGACTTTTGAATACATTTATTGATTCTTGACTATCCAATAAAATGGTCATAGCAATTTCGATTCACTTTGCATTTATCGTAGCAATTGAATTGAATGAAAAATAAATTAGTAATTCAATTACTTTTCTTAAAAATATTTCTTGTAAAATAAAATTGGCAAGAAAACAAAAAAGTACACTCTGAAATATAAACATCAGAATTTCGATCATTCTTTAATTAATCTTAAGATTATTTAACAACTGATTGACGCCAAACATTTCTAATATTTGCTTGCGTGATCATCTTGAAATTATTCAATTTGTAATAATTCCCATTTCCAAGTTTTATGTATTTGCGTCAATCAATTCTTGAATAATTTTAAGATTAATTAAAGTTATTTAGACTGAAAACGTTTTAAATTCTTGTCGGACAACTTCGTTCAATTTTTTTCTTATTTTAAGATTCTAAGAATTTTTGCTTTTTTGTCGAGTTTAATAATTTAAAAAATAAATGCTTTTTAGGAAGAAGTTGGATTTGGAATCATTTTGATCAAAGATGAAAATTTTTTTTTACTTTTTTTGATTAATGATATTGAGAAATAAAAACCAAAATTGATCTCAAATTTACGTTTAAATTTTATCGAAAGACAAATTTTGATATTGTAATGTTTTCCATTAATTTATTTCAAAAAAGTAATGAGTCGTTTAATTGTTATGCATTATAAAATTTGAAAAACATGAATAGAATAGAATATGGATATTCTGATTTTATTTTTTTCCTTGCTTGTAAGCCATCTGATTTTGATTTTGATGATTTCAGTTTGATTCATTAAATCATTTAACAAACTTTTCAATAACTTACAATTGTCAACTAAAAAAATTACAAAAAATGATGAAGGATTGATGGATTTGCGTTAAATGACTATTTGTAGTAACAGCGTTTTACCGAAACTGAGACAACTGTTTGGAAAAGGTTTCTCGGGTCATCAATTTCATGAAAGATATTGTTTGTAACAAACATTTTGACTCGAAAATTCTGGAATGCAAATATATTCTTTATTTACCATACAACTGCATATAATTTTTTTATTGTAAATGTGTACTTGATTAAATTCTGCCAATTTTTTATCATTTTTAACAGTTTCAGGTCAAAAGGCATGTCGAATTTTCTGAATAGGCATGATAAATTAATATTTATCTCAACAAGAATATCATATTTCAATGTGTTTGAGTTATCATATCCATCTATCGGAGATTTCCTTGTTTTCAATTTGCTGTTCATTTCATCCAATTAATTAACCAAGACCTATTTGAGTGTCTGATGTTAAAGTGAAGTAGTACATTATTGTAGATTTCTTGTACAAATATTGATGGGTATTACGTTAACGTAATTTTAAGTGGATACTCGTTAGGAAGAAACGGTATTTGGATAGTATAAATTCATGGCTTTGAGAATACAGGGAAACGGTTACTGCACTTTTTCCACTCAATGAATTTGTGCCATTCTCGAGCATATCAATTCGACATGTTAATGTTGCCAATTGAAGTAAGTGGATATTATTATATAATATTGTGCAAAGTTTGCGCTGAAATATGAAGATGTGTGCGTTTCATTTTAATAAATTTCGGAATGTCTACCTATCGAGGCTTTTCTGATCATTTTCAAGTGCATGTACAAAAATGACTTTATAACAATTACTTATGTAAACAATACAAATGTTTCACTAAACACGGAAGCAGATGAAGGAAAGGTGCTGTTCAGTTCCACTAGAATAACCAGGTACGGGTCCACTATTTCATTGTTAAAATCAGAGGTCAGGTACAGAGAAGAGCATTTTCGTACAAACTGTCACAAACAAGAGAAAAGTTGAAAAGAATAAGAGAGAAGGTATTTTGATTGTAAGATCGTGATGATACATACAACGAGTAGAGTGAGTTTTATCTGTTCTATTAAATTAAAGTAATATTAGCTAGCATTCGACTACCTTCATTTGTACACTATGAATGGATTTTCCAACAATTATTTAAATGTCTTTCTGTAAATATATTCACCTGCCTTCGGTTTTATCAATTATTTGATAGTGGATTGTCATATTAATAATTCAAACAAGGAATATCCTTTAAAATTCATCCTAAATAATTTCATCGTAAATTCAAATTTTTTAAAATGCAATTTGTTCAGCATCGTATTCATAGAGAAATTTAGTTTCTCCTAAAGTTTTCATACATCAGCACATAAGTGTGTTCTGCTTGAAATTGATTCTTAAAAAACTGTGCAAACATCAGTTTAAATAGAGAGAGTGAATCTGAAGTGAGTTATTGTAGGAGTGGATTAGATGGACAATAAAGTTGTAATGAAAACGGTAGGAATTACTTCCTACTTCTTTTTTATGTTCGAGAAATGATGATAATTCAAAATCTGATATATGAATAAAGAAAAGGCACCTTGTACAAAGTTCCGTCCATTTCCTATAAATACTGACAAAATAATTATGGGTACGTTAATATCAATTATTAGGTTGTTTTGTTGGATGAAGAGTTTTTGTTAGCATAGGAAGTGCCATGATGCAGTTACTACAATTATATCTATATTTTAAGAAGCGCTTATAGACAACGGTCTAAACACACAATGAATCTAAAAAATTATGATAAAAATATTTTCACTTTCAAAATTTTTTGATTATTTGCAGCCTTTAATATTTTATTTAACAATTTTAAATCTAAGAAGAATGAAAAACAAATTATAAACGAAGATATGTGTTTTTTTTTTTCAATTTGAAGAATCAAAAAAAAGATCAAATTAATCAGAAAAGGCAATACGATAAGTAACAAAGTTAAATTGAGGAAAGTTTGGTAACTAACCGTTATCATTATCAATATTTACCTTACCGTCACATGATATGCAATTTATGATAATACCATTAATTGTCATTAAAAGATAAGATATTGGCGATGGATCTTTTAATCTTAGCGTACAGGGTTTTGTGATAAAATTTCACATTTAATTGATATTGAAGGATCAGTGTCATTTGTTCCTTTCTTTTAATTTTTGTATTGGCTTTTTTTGAAAATTTAATGCTTGATAAATGTAATATTCTATTTTTTCCTGTCTAAATTTCCACTGAAATTCGTCTTCGTATAGTCGTCATTTTCCACTGGATGATAGGCGCGTGGCATCGTCACACCTGTGCTTTATTCACATTCATTTGGCTAGTATCTGATTTTGATGAGAATTTTCTTGTATTATTTTTTCAAAGATGCTTGAGGTTATTTAAAAATTAATAGGAAAAGTGTAATTTAAATTTGTGTCAAAAAATATAATAGTCATTTTTCAATCCTTTTTGATGTGTAAATGTAATAAGAATTGATTGATCATTTAGCATAATGTTTCGCAATGATAATGTTTTTTTCTTGGAATGCTTAAAGTTTTTTGCAAGTTTATTTTTTAGAATAAAATTAGTTTCTGAGTTAAAATAAGCATGCCTTTTTGTTGTTCGAGCAACAGTTTTACTTCCGCATTGCTCAGCTGCTTATTGTGACAACTAAAGCGTTTTTTTCCTGACATTTTAGCGGATTATATGTACACAAAATATAGAGAGAGTAAGCGAGAGAGAGAGAGAGACAGAGGGACTAACCGCAATGGGAATGAAAGAAAAGTTGTGGTCATTACCATCAAATATTTATGTATTATTTCTTTTCCTTTGAAACTTAGCAAAAGTCACAAAAAATGGAAACATTTTGTATATTCACTATCTGTAGCAATCTTATAATTATTTACATAATGAATAAATTCGTTTCATAACAATTTTGCTGGTAATAAGTTAAGAATATCCAATCGGTGGATAGAATAGCCAATCCATAGATAGAGAAAGATTTGGTGATATTTCTGAAATTTTGTCGGTATTGTTTGCTGAAGTCCGCACAATTTTTTGAATGCACAAAAAACAACAATGCTCCACCCCTTTTTTTTCTTGATCGCTGTTGAAAAATTTTTGAAAAACGCGTAGGATTTCCAGTTTGTAGCATTTAGTTCGGTTTCGTTTAGTTTTAGTTTAGTTCATTTCGACCAGGAACTTCGTAACCCGAGATAATCTATCCGGCACAAACTGGTACACTGCGTTGAAAATGCATCCGAGATTTCGAAGGTACCAGTTTTCTACCTTAGGTAAACAGCTTGAGTCATTGATGATACACAAAGTGGGAGGTTGCCTTATCGTGCTTAAAACGTTCTCAAAGCTTCAACGAATTATAAACTTTCTTCAGCTGATGGTCATCCTTGCACATTGCACAGATTAAAGATTTGATTTAGGGCGATTTGATGATAGCCAATTGTTAGCTTCATTCGATAACTTGTCCTTTAATTAATTATGAGCAGTAATTTCAACTAAAAACTAATCCTTTTGCAATTGCAGACATCTTATAAACTGATCATTCATATTAGAGACATTAGAATAGAATATCAAGAAGTGTCATTTCACCGCGAATATTCGCGGTATGTTTAATGATGTGATGACACTTCTTGATATGTTAATTTAAACATCACATTTTTACTCCATTCTCTTTCAGTTTGTCACACGTGCCACTTTTAGCTTATTTGTAATTTGGAAACATATCCGGTTTTTTGTCGTTGCAAATATCACACTGTAATAAAATACTTAAGTTGAATTTTTTAATTGTACAATAACAACTTGTTGTCAACGATAGAAAAGAAAAAAATTTTAAATATTTTTTTTTTCATTCAAGAGAACAGCAATATTCGAATGACATTGAGGAATTTTTTTGAGAAAGTTTATCTTTTGTTCATATGAGAAATAGTATTGTTATTAATGTGATAAATTTGATTTTGCTTCAGTGAAATGTTGTCGTTGTCACCTTACCGTTTTTTCTTTTCTTTTCCTAAATCAAAATAATATTGCATTAAGAGAACAACCAAATTTTGCCATTTTCTTTTTTTGCATACTCTGTTGCTAAATAGCGGCCATCTATGAAAATAGTCGTCAATAATGATTTTATTTTCTCGAAATGTATGCTTTTATTTGTTATCTGAGCATCGTTTCTGTTATCACTCATTCCTACGTTGCTTATTTGGCGTTCAATCATTTTTTCATAAGATGAGTAAGAAGTCAGATGAGGAAATGAAATAAGAAATTCCAATTTTTATGCATAGGATGAAATTTAGTGTTTTTTATTTGGTTAGCACATAAATCGTGCATGAAAAAGTAGGAACATCAAACTGCAATGTTTTTACTTAATAAAATTTGCGATAACTTTCGCAGATTGCCAATAGCTTTTCTATTGCTTTTTGTATTGTTGTTTTTTGTAAAAAAAATTGAAACATTTTAGAATAGTTGCCAATATTTTGAATTAAAAAGATTTGTAGAGTGAGAGTAGCAAAAATGTATTCTTTCTTAGTTGTAAAGCATCAATTGAAAATTTCAAATGACATTATCACATTAAATTGTAAAAGGACGAATTTATGAAGAAAGTATGAAATAAAATAAAACAAAACAATTAGTTCAATTTTTCATCAACAGCGATTCGTAAAACCGGAAATGCGGACTTGCAAATAAATGGAAAAAAAAGGGAGTTTTTATTTACATAAGATCAGAACAGGAAAGAATTTTTTTATCTCTTTTGTTACATCAAAAGAAAAAAATCATTTCGCAAACTTTTTAACCCGCGAAATGTTTGAAATTTCATTTTTTTGAAAAGTTTGTTATAAAAACTAAAAGCAAATTGTGAGAGAGTGAAAAGGGATTGATGATGCAAAGAGCATGTTTTTATGGATAAAATTTTTCTTTTCTTCGTTCTATTCATCTCTTCGATTGTGGAATTTTCACAACTGATAATACTTTATTATTGTTTCCTTCTTGATATTGTTCAAAATACATCACAATTAAATTAAATAAAGCTGATTAAATTGATTAATAAGAAAATTTGTTTCTGAGTATCAGTTACATTCTTCGGATCTTATTCTTACATTTTCAACTTAGTTTTGAAAATTATTCTAAAATCAAGTCAAAAGCATTAGATTCTTGCTTTTCCATATTTCTTTAATTTGAAATTATTAAGTGCGGTATTAAAAACTGTAATAAAACAAATTTGAGAATTTTAGACTTCATTTGTTTGCTTAGTAGTGTGTCATTTGTTTACTTTTCACTGATGAGGAAGTTTTTTCTGCATCATGAATTCTTTTATGTTTTCAAAATTTTATTGCTAGTTGTTTTATCATTTCTTAGATATCCCATACAAGACAGTAATTTATCAATTTAGAAGAAATTAGACATTTTCATTAGTCGACGATGGACAAATCCATCAGTTTAGTTCCACCAAATTATTTTTTTCAAATTCATGTGAAAGATCAAATTTTTATGAAGTCTAACTTTAATGAACAAGTTCCAAAGTGTTCGATTCTGCAGATCCGTCTTTTTGTGTTTTCTGCCTATTATCCATACCACACATTTGAACAAATAAAAATATTTTCAATGGATTTTAATTTCCTGGTAACGAACGATTTGTCACGATTTAGAGCAACTGAAGGTCATCGGTTCAGAATTTATTGAAATTTCAAGTGCTCTCAATTTCATTTGAATGAGTGAAGAAAAACTAATTCAATAAGTTTTTTTTAAACGAAGAAATGATTTGCTTTTAGAGAGAGAGTAAAAGTTAAAAACTAAGTCTTGTATTTTAATTCCTATCATTCTGTGTTTTTTAAGTTTCAATTTAAATCTAAACATATATAATTATTTGTTTTATAATTATAAATCTTTAATCTTCAGAAAACTCTAATGATCGTTGAATTTATGCATTGCAATTTAATGTTCTCTTTGTTCTGAACGATTCAATGCTACATAATCCGGTATGACATCATTTTAAATTGATGACCTGCTTTCTATGAAAGTGTCTTATTTCATTTACTTGTTACAAAACTTTTAAAATTTAAACAATTACTTGTTTAATTTGTAGTAATGAATTCATGTGGAATTAAATTAGATGAAAAGTAATTCCCATGTTTTATAGCATATCATCGGGTAATAACCTCATTATTTCTATACATATATTCACCTTGTAAAGTGCGCGATTCGTAAGTATCATTTTTACAGCACACATTACATCATCGAAAACATTTCGGTAAATTTGCATCATCACTTACTACTTCCAATTCTTTTAACATGGTAAGTTTTCACACTTTTAAAAATTTCATACTTTTACAAACAATTCGTTTGTAAAAGTGTGAAATTTAAAATTTAAATTCCATCTTTATAAAATGCTTTCTTTAAATGAAGATTTCTTTTTGTCTTAGCTTATATGCAGATGTTAATACTCTTAAGTTACTTTATTTAAACCTTGTTGCTTTTTTTCAAAATATTTGAGGAAATGTATGTGAATTTCAGATGACCGAAATGCCAGGTCATCATTATCGAGTTCGAAAACGTCGTCGAGGTGAGGTAGCAAATCCAGCGAATACTTTGGATGGTTTAGTCGCTAAACGCGCTGATGATGTTGGTGGTAGGGATAGTCTTCATAAGCGCTATTTGACCGAAGCTGAAGCAATCGAAGCTCCAACCAATGATCAGGAAATGAAGATTTCTTGTTTACCGCAATTTTGTATGATATAGATGGATCAATCTAATAATTAAATTCGCTCGACTTTTTTCAGTTCGATCAACATCTAAATATACTTCCAGTAACTATTACAGGGTATTGAAATTGACTCTGACGTGTCAACAAGGACCTGCTCCGTTTGTGGCTATCAGGGAAAATGGGTTTCGGAAATGATTAGACATAAACGAGTGCATACAAACGAACGTCCATTTCGTTGTAAATACTGCTCTCGCACAAGCAAATGGAAGGCTGACCTCGTTCGACATGTCGCTAGTATGCTAAATTGATTTTCTTTCTTACAACTTCATTCATTCCCTTTTTGCGCCTCCTCGAAAATCCGTGATTGATGTATTTGATAAAGCTCAGGTTAACACGGCTTCTCCATCCTACATATATTTACTACATTTTTGATTTTTTTTTAAAAAAAAAACTAATATTAAACTAACCTTTAAAAAAGTAATACCACAATTCTAAGTTAAAAAAATTAATACTTACTAAAAAATTTGTGGTAGAAGAACCTTTTAGAACAAACAGTAAGACATAGTTTTCCAATAAACCTTAACAAAATATATGTAAAAAAGAAATAAGACAAAAAAAGAAAACTAAACTGACCTGTTTTGTTTATAGAGACGCACGGAATACGAGTGGTTTCAAAATACAGTCGAAGTAAAACATTTCATAATAGCACTTCAACATCTAATATGACAAATAGTATAAATGAATCAAATGGAAAAAAACGAAATTGTGTAGAGGTATATATATGTCTTCCATTATACTTGATTATTCCTTCAATTCACAAATTAATTGTTAAAATGAAAATGATGTTTTTCAATTTTTATTTTTTTTAATTAATGTTTATTGTAATTAAAATTCGATGAATTATGATATTTGATTGTGTACAATAAAAGCACTATTTATTAAATGCTAAACTGTTGTAGATATTGACCGATTTAAAAAATGATAAAGGTATTTCACTGAGATGCAAAAAACCTAAAACACTTCGATTACCGATTATGTATCGATGTGTCATATGTTTGTTTGAAGAGGTCAGATAATTTTAAATTTTGCAAAGGTTAAATGGTATTACTGTAGTAACGTTTTAATGTGTTACATTCCTGTAATTTTTGGTTATTTTAGGATTCAGTGCTCGTTTTGATGAGCCATTTGAAAAGTGCGCACAATGCGCTGCCATATGAATGCCATTCGTGTGGCAGTTCGTTTATGGACGCTCACACCACCATGAAACATTTCATTGAAAAGACAACATGCAAAAGAACCGATCTCAAAATTAACATCGCACCACCAAATATCATAAAAAATAATTTTAGTACGTTTATTATTACTTCATTTTTCTAATGAAACTTTTATTAAGATTCCCTTATTTGTTAATTTGTCAAATTTTTTCAGATTTAAAGCCATCACTTGCTCTCCTTGATGAAGCTGCCAAACGAGCTGCCCAAGAATTATTTGGTAAAAGTTCGGTAATTACTTCATCCGTCATATCGACTAGAAATGCAACTTTGCCAGCAACATTAGTTAACAAATACGAAATGAAACAGGCAAACACGCATGATAATAATCAAAATGGTATGAATGTAGATCAGATGACAAATGATTTGCATATTTATAGATAGATTGATATTTTTGAGCGATCATTGCTGCTAAATGATTACTTTAAGATTGTTAGAAGAAATTAATTGATAGCGTCAAAGCATATCATTTGAAACCATTAATGAAGTTCTCCATTTCATCATGGTGATAGTATTAAAGTTGTCGCTTTGAGAAGTTTTATATTAACGTATTGAAACTTTCCTCTGCCATCGAGTGAGTTATTTTAGATCTCAGATCATTTCCTAATATTTCCAATCTTTTTAGAAATAATCTATAACTGCATATTTTGCAATTGGACTGCAAAAAAAATGTGTGCAATGGAAGAACATGTACGCATGCATACAATAACAAATCCATCCCTTCTGATGCAACCCATCAACGAAATTATTGCAAATTCCACTGAGACTCAAAAGAAAGTTAATTCGGACAGTACCCTCACAACGGAACAAGTATTCATATATCACTTTTTGGATTTTAATTTCCATTATTTTTTTATTTATACTTTTTCTTATTTTGACGAATATTTCATTTGGTCATCGCTCCAGGTACTGGCCACGTCGAGATACTTCGATTTTAGAACAATATTATCACTGCTGAAACAACAGGCTACCTTCAATCCAATGGTAATTCATTTATTACAAAGTGCTTCAAACCAATTCTGGGACATTACAGAATTTATAAGAATGGAAATATCAAAGCAAATACCAAAAGATTTTGGAATTGCTAAAAATTCAATTGAGTCTTCAAATTTTATTTCTTGGGACAATCCAATCTAAGTAGCACTTATTCTCTTTATAGTATCATTACAAACACAGAAAAAATTGTGCATCCAATTTATAAATAAAATTTAGCATTACTTATTTGTCTATTTAATTTAAACCACCTAATTTGATTTTTATCGCGAAAAAATTTCTTATTTTGCTAGAAGCTCTCTCAGTTAACTAACTTATTCTTCAGTAGCGACTAATTGTTTTTGATTAATAACTTCGTGCAATTCAATGAATTAGTAATCTTTACTCATTGATATTTTATGTGTGGTATAATGTTATGCTGATATTGCCCTGGAATTTTATAATTTTCAGCTCAATTTAGAGTTGTTAGGTTGTCTGTTATTGGGGAAAAGTTACGACAAAGACACAAAAGTTTTAAAATATTTCTTTCACTATCTCACATTACCTAGTTAAGACTTTTTTCATTATCAGAGTTTTTCAAATTTTTGAGTTTTTTTTTCATAATCTAAACTGGAAGAAAAGAGAAAAAAATGACAAGTGTGAGATTAATTTCGCACTAAAATACCAACTGTGATGAATTTATCTTCGGTAGCATCTCATAACTCGTAAACTTTGATATAGATTATAAAATTTTTTCGCATTATTTGTAGTGATTTATTTGAAAAAATTTTGAATATTCACAAAAAATGGTATTTAAAAAATTAATTTTGGCTAAACTTCTATAATATTGATCGAAGTGCTATTTTCTCACTGTGATCAAATAGATTTGAATTTGATAAACTGTTAAGTATATCATAGGTATCATAGAGAAGCTCAATTTCTTTCTTTTTTTTGGCAACAGAAAGACTGTTTGAATTGAAAACAGTTTTCTCCGTATTATATTGTTACCAATTAACTGTTAATGTTTATATATCGTAATGAATGGCTAAGTTGATTTTTGTGAAAATTAAAATTTTACAACTTAAGTTTTTCATATTTATGATTCCAGCTTTCAATACGAGCTCTAACATCGACGCCGACACTGCTATCGGAATGGGCGTCATCCGGCCCTTCAGCTTTTAAACAAGTTTGTCCGATTCCGGAAGAGATTACACGAGTTTCAGACTTCACATGCTATCCAGGAATTCATGGAACCCAGCAAAGAAAAACTATCCAGCAACTCAATTTCCTATTCTCTGACACCAATGACAATATTTCATGTAATTCAGTAGCGGTAATTTCAAATTTCAATTCGGGCAGTCGTTTTGAAAATTTTTGTCACGTGAATTCCACTTCATCTAATGTGCCAGAAAAGTCAAGCATAAACTCTAACCTGCCCAATATTAGCTCATCATCATCTAATTATCACATTTCTGAGGGCGTTATCAAAGCTATTCAACATTATTGCCAACGACGCAGTGCGTTGTTTTCACCGGTTCCTGTAATGGAAAACAAAATTCAAAGATTGGTTGACCTTCCGGAGTCATCAGAAAATAAAACGGGCCAGAAAAATGAGCCAGAAGAAGCCCATGATCTAAACATAATGAGAAAGGAGGAAGACGATTTTGTTGATGTCGTGCAACTTGATAGTTGAAATATTAACTTTTCACTCTTCCAGCATTCAAAAAATAATGGTTTGAATTTAACAAATACTACAAGAAATAAAAAAAAATGCGCGGAATTAGACAAATCAAGAAAAAACGAAAATAAAAAGGCTAGAACTAATCTTTATAAGTAATCTTTATTTAATCTTCACTTGCTAGCGTGTAGAATTTATTAAGATTTCAAAAATTTAAGAAGTATGCCAGTAATTCTAACTTGTTTCTAACAAAAAAAAAGAAAACGATGTCTTTCATTAACGTTATTCACTGGTGCTGTTCCCAATTTTTTCAATTTCTTTGTTTCATTTTCCTGTTTCTTCCAATTCTTATAATTTTTTTATTTGTTTGCTATTTTCATTCTCTCATTTGTCACTGTTTATTGATTCCTCTTCGTTATAGATTCTGACAATTTCCAATCTAGAAAGTACATTCCGACCTAAAATTCCGGACCAGAAAAATTCCATTAGTTTAGAAAAATAAAAAATAAAAAAAGCCACAAAGGCAAAAGACGTAAAAACAAACAAAGTGAAAAAGTAAAGCCGATAGGTGTTACATTCTTTCAAATTTGTTAACAAAAATATTCATTCCATGTTTGATTTTGATTATCGAACTTTTTGAGCTTCCATTATATTTTTATTTTACGATCGATTTCATTGTTTACAGCTTTGATACACACTTATGTCTCGTAAAATGTGCAATGACATGTGATATTATACTGCTTCGTCTCTTCCTGAACATTTTGCAATGTTTCATTTATGTTATAATTTATTATTTTGAATTTATAACGTTCATTTATATTTGATTCAAACTTATTGGAATTATCCGATCATTTATTATGAGGGATCGTTAGCTAAGAATATCTGTATGGATCTCTGTAAAGGAGACACTGATATTAGTAAGCAAATCATCCTATCTATTTCATACAATGATAAAGTTTTCTGCAAGATTTAGTCAATTTATTACAAAACTATTACAAAAATTTAAAATAAAACATACAAAAGTTATGGGTTGACCAATTGTTGAATGAAACTAAAATAAGGTATCACTTTAGGAGCTTAATTTTCTTTGTACGTAAAAACTGTTTGTAATTAAATTTATTGTAATTGCTGCTTTTTTTGTACAGGCAATTTTTTTTAAAATATTAAATGTCCGTATTGCAATAAAGTTTTTTCATCTATTTTATTCACCAAAAATTGTCCAAATTAATTGATCACATTCAATCAAAATTTCTTTACTGGAACAAATATGAATTAAGCGATATATTACAAATGCATAGTACTGAACTTATAACTACGTTTTTCATTTTTTTTAATGTGATTAAACTTTCTTTTTGCTGAGAATTTCAATATAAGTTGTTTACTTAACACTTTCAAATGAGTAATAATTCGATGATTTACCAACACATTGATCACGGCCGAAATCTGCGACGAATTGAGGAATGACAGTGGCAAAGCTTGTCGACTTCAGTTTAGTTATTTTAATTAAAAAAGGAAGTGTCAAAGAGGTGGAAGACGCGCGTTTGACGGTTGAAGCCACGGTTAGACAGCTCGATTTCTTGACTTTCAGAGCTCCGATTTTACAGCTCATTTGTTGTCTCTTTCTCGGGATGTTTTTTTTTTCTCGAGTTTCTCGGATTCGAGATGTCTTTTTCTCGATGAAAAAACGTATATGTATAAAATATATTCCTGCAACAAGTACCGAAACAGTTTTCAAGTAATTGATGGATCGGCGGTTTTTTGGTGTTATGCTTAACGTAATTTTCCATTTTCCGTTTTTTAACAGTTACTTGTGGTGTACGGAGTTTGACGTATACTTTAGGATCTCTATGTCAGTAAAAGACAGATTTTCAATTCAGTGACTGGCGCACTGGCGCAGGACCTTTTTTCAAGTAGAATCTTTGTCTTTTTTCTTCTACTTTTCATTCTCATCTTGCGCGGAAAATATGATGCTAATACTTTATATCAAGTCTTATTTATACCGAATGTTTCATCTTCCGTTATTTTCTTTTTCCTTTCATTTATTTGATGTATTCTTCAAAAGTAATTAATCCTTAAGTGCCCATAAAAATGGCGCTAAAATAAAAGCAGAAAAACTGTAGATATGGATCTCAGCATTTATTATAAATGTTTATGTCAGTATTTAGGAGAGTATTTATGATAGATCTTGGTATGAGTGCGAATCTCATTATTACTGTTTCGAGATGCTTTTAAAGAATTGAAACCACCCAATCTTCCTGGATTTATGTGAGATTTCTGCTTGATGGATTGATGAAATACAGGCTAGACCTACTTTTGAGATATGAATGTTCGCAGGATGTCTTTTGGTGCAGTAGCAAATTATAATGCCACTGCATACCCGTTCATTCCCAAGTAGTATAACTCTGAAGTCACACAAGAACAATTTATCAGTATTTAGTGACGTATTTATTCGAGATCATCGAATTTTGCTACGTTCTGATTTTCTAATTTACCTAAAATGATGTACTTTTGCAGTGCAGAACTTCAGAAACCTATTCTTTGAAGAGAAATCCAAACTGTTTCGGACTGTGTTTTTTCTAGACTTTTGTACTTCTCAAGTGCTGTATTATTGTACTTTTGTTCTGTAGTCTATTAATTTGGATAGAAAATTATTCTAATACAAAATAAGTGTGCAATTAGGTAACGTGCAAAAAAATTATATGAGGAAGCAGACTAGTTCTTCACTTTTTCTTATCAAATTTGTGATTTTTTTTGTACCTCATTTAGATTAATAAAGTGGAAATTAGGAAAATTCATATAATAAGGGGAGTTTATTTCTCCAATTACTGTATACAATTCCTAACGGATAATATAGAGTTTTTGTCAATCATTAAAGTAACATAGTCATGATCATGAAGTCATGGATTTATTATAGAATAATTGAATTTTGTATGAGTTTTGCATCCTTTTTTCACTGCTGTCTATCCAATTCATCGTGATGGACACTACTAATCGCAATGAGATTCTTAAAATTTGCTTTGTTTATTCTAATTAAAACCGGTTCTCAACAGTGTTTACTTGTTTTTATGTTCATGTTAGTTGTTTTAATGGGGTTAACTTCTTTAAACTTATAATTTTTCCATGTTGTTGTGGATCTTGAATTATTTAAAATTTGTTTGACGTTTAAATAACTGATGATGTGTATCGCAGCAGTTTGTTTTTACTGTCAAAAATTTGCTTGCAGGAACAATTTTGAAGTAACCAATAGATGGGGGGATGTCTTTGCAAAAAGAAACGATCATCTTCAGGACATAATCGAGACCGAAGGCGATATTCTGGCATTAACAACAGTGGGAGAGATATATGTAATAATGCTGTCCAACAAGTACGAAGACGTTTGACATCGCGGACGCAAGTTGTAACACTTGCAACTCGAACGCCATCTCACGGCGTTGATGGTAACGACATTATTGAAGATTTATAATTTTCTGTTCACATTTTCATTTTAACAGTTTGTATCGATTTGGAATTGATGACATACCTTTTGGAAAGTATCACAGATCGTAAGAGAAAGTGGTTTTGTGAATAAGTTTGCCAGTTTTAGTTAGCGCTCGAGTCACTGAAGATGTCGAGGATGATGTAAGAGATCTGATATGGCAAACTCTAAAGATGATAAGGTATCTGGTAAGCAAGTAAGTCACTTTTTTGTGCCTCGTTCATAACTTTAGTAAATTACACCAAAATGTGTACGAAATATTTTTAGTAAGGTTAGTGTCTCCCTAACAAATGTAACAATGCATATATTATGTCTAACATGGGATCAGAATATTTTTCCACACAAATTTTTCAGTGATCAGGAGCCACCTACACAACTGCTAAAACTAAATTTGATTGCCGATAAAGAAGGTGGTTGGATAATGGTTATCATGTGCTTAATTGATGTTATTCCTGTTGAAGAACCACTTGGTCCTGCTGTTATCACTCTTTTCCTTGATGAAAGCCCACTGCCTACAAAGGTGTTGTTAACATTAATTCATTGAAAAGATTTTGAAGATCTTGCACCTTTTTTTTCTTTGAAGACAATATTGGGGTATATAAATATATACATGTTAAACAAATGTAACAATGCATATATATGTCTAACATGGGATCGAACTAAATTTTCAGTTTGAGTATCGATGGTTTTATAAGCCAAATTTGCTGGAGATAATGAAAAGTTAAGACCATATGTTTTGCAATTCTTAAGTGCAAAACGTATGCGTTTTAACTTCATGGCTCTATTCTTATTTATTCTTCTATTTTATTAATTTCGAAAGGAAAGAGTTATTGTAGGAAACAGTAACACGTCTGCTTACACGCCATATGCACTTAGAGTTGTCACATTTATCTTCTCGGCATCGCAATACATGTATTGTACTCGGATCGCTTGCTGAAAAATTATCTGGACCAAGCTGCGTGCAAGTTTGCACAAGCATTACTCTTAATTACCTTCTCAACAATCTTGTAAGTTTTCCAAGATCTTTTTCATTATTCTCGTAATCTCTGACAGTTTAATCACATTAAAACAGAATAGTTTATGATATTTTGTGACAAGGATCGGAAACATTGTTAAATATAACATAAAATTTTTTCTTTCAATATTATTGAAGGAATTCAAAGAAATATAAGAAAATCTGTTTTTTGTTCCGCTTGTGTAAATATCTGGATTTTCATGTCATCCAGTTTTCAGTACTTGTCTTTTTACTGCCCGTAATGTTTTTTTCAAGCAGAACTTTTAAAGGAACCTACGGGTGATCCGCAAGTCATTTTGTTTTCATTGATTGCTTTGGAAAAATTCGCTCAAACAAGTGAAAACAGGTTAACAATATGTCGGCGACTGGATCAAATGGAACAGAATCCATTATTGGTGAGGTTAAATTGTGAAGTTTATTCAGTGTCAGATTGATTGTGGAATTCTATTATTCGAAATTATGGAATTCTATTATTCTTTTGTTTGGAGGACTTATATGGCAACAATTCCGAACATTCTTGTCCTTGCAGGTCTTGGAGTCATGGCTAAGTGATCCAAGGATTGAAAATGATTGGTTAAAACAGCAAGTTGCATTTTGTGCTCAGTGGACGTTGGACAATGTCTGTGAGTGTTTTTTTATTGTGGGAGGAAGCCTTTATTGGACTTTTTTTGTCTGTTTATGAGAATTTTTTTGTGTTTTTCAAAAATGGATTCAACTCATTAATTATCTTAACTCATAAGAACTTTACTTTTTTAAGCTTTTGCTTGTTTGAAATGAATTGACTAAGTTTTCGAAATAGAAACATAAAAATATGATATATAAGCTGAAACTATTATCTTTCTTTCATAAGCACAAATTTATGACACTGTGATTATAGAAATTTGTAGTTGTGATCGAGAACCGTATTCCTTCATATATGACTATAAATATTGATGACATCAATGCTATGTTAAATCATGAGGATGTCAGCGAGTATCTGAAAATTGGTCCTAATGGCTTAGAGGTAATCACTGTTTACTGCAGCAGTTTAGCAGCGTTCTTGGGCAGGATATATATATATATATATATATACGGTTAAATAATATGTTACGAACATTTCGGATATGCCAGATATGAAGGGTTCCATTCGTTGGGTAGGAAACAATGGCAATTTATGTTTTTTCATATCATAGCATGATTCCAAACAATCATTTTTTGGAATCATGCTAAAAAATTTTTCATTTCATAGCGTGATTGTTTGGAATCTGTCAATTTGCAGTTTGCATCATTAGTTTTGAGTTACCGTTATCCACATTTTCTATTTTTAGGCACGATGTGATGTTTCATCGTTTGAATCAGTTCGATGTACTTTTGAAGCTACGCATGGAATTTGGTTTTACGAAGCTCTGATTCTAACTCCCGGTGTTATGCAAATTGGCTTTGCTACGAAGCAAAGTCGTTTTTCAAATCATGTGTGTATTTTACATGTTTTTTAGAATCTCTCACTGATTTTCTTCAAAAGATTATCAAATAATTGCCTGAATAGAGTTGACTGTTATTGGTTAAGGACTTTTCTGATTTTTCATTGTTAGGAAGGTTATGGAATTGGTGATGATGAATGTTCAATAGCGTACGATGGTTGTCGACAACTAATTTGGCATAACGCAGATTTCATGAAAATCGAACATGATCATTGGAACGCTGGTAAGATTTTTCAGGAGCGGAAAAGCTTTGATTATGAATATTCTACTGTAAACATAAGCTCGAGAAACAGTAGTTTGTTTTGCATGAATCTTCTGAAATTTTCTTAATTTTGCGGAAAAGTAATATTCTTGAAACTAGGATTCATTATTACCAGTTTCAACCGCAGTGTCGATGCTTTTCAATTATTTGCGAAAATTTTTTCTTTCATGAAAGGGCCGTTACTAAGTAATTACCAAATCTTGTTCTTAAGTATCACTTACTTTTCGGAAGTTGCTAAAAACACATGCAATTCTTTGAAAGTATTGGAACTGTCTTTTGCTTTTCTGCATGGACTTACATCATTTTTTCTTTTGCACCATGATTTTATTTTTTGAAAATTATTTGAAATATTTGTCAAGTCAAATAAATTAAGTTTAATGCTGTGCAAGTGACAAATTTTGATTTGTGATGACATCAAATTTTGGATTGAATTAGATAGTTTTGTCGATGGTAGAAGTTGGATTCTGTTTTTTTCACTATTTAGTGTCTGATAATAGATTGCAGGTGATATTCTCGGTTGCTTACTGAATCTACAGGACGGCTACGTGCAGTTTTATCTTAATGGTTTATCGCTTCGTCAACCACATCGCGCATTCCTCGATAGGCGGAATAAAAATTCAGGATTCTTTGCAGCTGCATCCTTTATGAGCTTTCAACAGTGTCGTTTTAATTTTGGTTTGAAGCCTTTCAAGTTAGTTTTTTAAATAAAAACCCTAAGGTGCAACTGGCATTTGGATTTTTCTGCAAAAACTTTTTGGATGTGTTTTTTTGCTATACCTCTTGTAATTTTCATACAGAGCAGTGAAGCTTATTTGACCAATTTGGAAATTTAAAAAAATTAGAAATTTTCGATTAAAAACTAAAAATTAAAGTTTTAATTAAAAATTTTATTAAAATTAAAAATTTACTGAGATCAGTTTTCGAGACTTTGCTATGCGTGTAAAATAACTGTAGAGTTTTAGATTTCCTCCGGCGGACATATCATTTAAAACTTTCAATGATTACGGCACGTTGTTTTCTGAACAAAAAACTATCCTTCCACGGTTTGTTTTTTTTCATATTGTAAAGAATTTATAAAATGTGTGCAGCAAAGTGAAGATGAGAAATTCAGTGTAGCTGCAATAAATTTTAGTCTAAGTTTTATAGCCTTTTATTTGAAAATTTCTCTATCAGAAGGATCTGCAAATATTTTTTAATGCTTTTAGTTGATACCGTTTTATTACAGACAACGAAGAATTGAACTTCTTACACAGATATCTATAGCAGATGATGCATGCACTTTATGTTGTACAAATTCAGCCGATACTGTTCTGAAACCATGCGGACATGGGTAAGCTTTTTAAAGTTTTGTTCTTTATTTAAGAATTGAATTTAATGTCTCTTAAAAGTTAATGAAAGACAGTTACACTTAGCAATTCATGGAAATTAGTCAATGTTATGTTTTAAGCGGAATTTGTTACTCCTGCTCCGAGCAGATTGAACTTTGCGCACTTTGTCGCGAAACAATCACAGAACGTATAAGGGCTTCTAAACGAACCTCAATACTAATGCAGCACAGTGGAACAGTGCTAAATAATACTATTGCTGATAACGCATCTTTGTATGATATACATTTACATTCCTTATAATAAACATCTTAATAGTTGAAATCAATTTCGAAATTTAATTTTGAATGCAAATTTTAATATAAATGTGCGCTCGACTGGTGAAAACAAATATTTTTATTCAGCAATTGTTTCTGTGAACTTCATAATATTTTATAAATATCATATTCAATTAAGAGAAGCTAAAAATAAGATTCGATCATACTCTGGACCTCGGAAGAACGAAAGATGATGGTAAAGTACGAGAAAAGAGAGAAGGTAATATGATTGGTTTCAATGTAAATTTTGCACTGAGTGTTTTTTAAGTACATTTAAAAACTGTTTTGTTAATTCAAAAGTTTTGTATATCGAGTATCGATTAATTTGTTACTATTTAAGCACATTATAGTTTTTGACTGTAAAAACTGTGCAGGTAGAATTTACAATTTTGAGACCTGAGCACTTCGAATTGATAGAAACAGTAGAAATGGTTTTCTCTTATGCCATCTTATTTGCTAGACTAGAAAATTCCGAAATGATGTTATAAATACCTTGTGGTTTGATATTTGTCGTTGTACACATATAAATATAATTATATATATACATATATACTTTCATGTCGGTGGATCAGAATTTTGGTGGAAACATAAAATCCTTTCTATTACGTGTTGATATTATCCCAGAATTTTCATATTAGTTTACTTGTCGTTTTCTTGATAGTTCCAGATGTTATAATAAGATGTTTGTACTTAACATTATTTGTTTTTCACTATTGTCCTTAATCTTTTAGAGTTCCGATATTAATATGGAAAAAAAAGAGCTTTATTCTACATAATGCTTTACGTTTTCAATTTATGCATGTTTGTACTTCATCTTATTTTATCTTTCTTATCCTAATGATTCGCGATTATTTATATCATTTATTCTTTAAACTTTTACTTTCTTCACTTTTTAAAATATTTTTACTTTACGTGTAATTAAATATTTAATTGCGGTGAATTTTGTCAGATGCCAATTTCTTGATAAGAAATTTTCCTCTCAATTTTAATATGCTGATGAAAATTTCAAAATTATTGCATTTTGTCAGTGATGCTAAGCTATCAGTTTCCGATTATTTAAAAAATTTCTGTTTGAAATGTCACACTAACACCTTAATTACAAATGGCTTTTCACATCGTAATAAATTGTTATGTCATCATAAATTCAGACGGTATCGGACGACATGTTCGAACCTGTGTACTGTTTCCGATGTGTGACGTCTAGATTGTATTATAAATTCAGAAGATCATACGTTAAAGTTTCATTTTCAAAATTGCATTTTTAGTGCTTTTGCATAACATTGAAATAAATTATTACTGCCAGACTTGTTTCGTATTTCAGCTACGGCTAACTGTTTCCAGTTCTGCTTTTGATTAATAAATTTATGTTCGAAGCTAGTTAGACATACGGACGATAGATAAAAAATAGCTGGATTTTTAACAACCGAGCGCAAAATTTTGTTGACATTTCGGTTTTTATTACTATTACTACTTATTACTGCTATGTCTCTATTACAGTTTCCTTTATGAAATGGCATGCTAATGTTTTAATTACGAATGAACGGTTTTTCAAATGGTAATAAATTGTTTAGTGATGTCGGTCCCATGAGGAATTAAGTTTGCGGAGGTAGATTTTTGTGACAGGATTCTACAAAAGTTATCAGACGTTTTTATGTTCTTACCGATCGAATGCAGCTGTTGGTGATATTGTTTTCGGTTTCAGGTTTAAAGAGTATGGTTCCTGTTACAAAGATTGGCCGAAAGCGAAAAAGGGCAGGGCTTCTTGATGAAAAAGTGGGAGTCGTCAGTGTTCAAGAGGATGAGGCAGCTAATGTGCTTGATGATGTATCCATTTCGATAAATACATCTGTAAGATTTCCTTATCCTTAAATTCAGTTGTACCTTATGTTTCCTTGTTTCTAAGATAAAATATTGAACTAAAGAAATGTTTTGCAAAATTTACAAATAGCTTTGTACAGAATGAATTTTAAGTTCTTCCTTTATTTTAGGAGATATACGAAGCTGGCACCTCTAAAATAGATAACTGCCTTCCAAAAAGCAATAGTAAGTTGATGAAATAATTCAAATTTTGAGGCTCTTATTGCATTTTAACCGGATCGGATAATTGTACAGGGAAATTGATGTGATTCTTTTGAAAACCTTATGACTTTGATATTTTGAGATTTGCTTCACTCTTATAAAAAATAATTCGATATTTAGAAACTGCTTACCTTCCATATAAAGAGGACGAATGGTCACCATTATTTTTATATCGTACTCCATTTGACCTGACAGTGGCCGCAATACGGCAGTCTGGTTCTGAAGGTATAGGACGTTATGAAATTGGAAAAACTTACGGAATGGATACGACAACAAAAGCTGGAAATCGTCGAGTCTCGGCAAATATCGTGAATGGGATCAAATCATTTCCCGATCATTTTGGACAATATCAGAAAATGGAAGGCAAAGTTAGATGTATAAAGTAAGACTTTTGTTTGTTTTTTTGCGAAAAGCTTTTTATTGTGCAGTACTTAAAACTTCTTTTTTAGGTATTACTGGAAAGTGGCTGCTCATCCAGAGAGTTTTATTTATCTTTTCAAAAACTGGAAAGCGGTGGTTGGTGATGATTGTCCGTTCAGGATTGGCGAGGTTTTGAAGTTCCCGAATACTAATTTGAGTACGTTGCCTAAACTTTGATTAGTTGAATTTTTTTAACCAGTTATTCATAGGCCTTTCGATTAAGGTACCCTGCGAATGAGTGATGTTTCATTGCGACGATTAATCGACATAATGAAAGTTTTGAAGAAACATCACGTTATTGTAACAATTCATCACTTTATGAAAATTATCACAGATATGGAAGTTAAATATGGTCTTCCCTATCAGGTATTTTGTATCATGATTCTTTGACTGATAAAGAACACACAATGATTGCAGTTTGTATTTGATATGCTTCAATTTTGTCAAGAAAAAACAAAAAGTTAAAATTATTGGATTTTGCTGTTATGCAAGCGTCTTACTGCGTTTGTATGGTTTTTACAGAGTTTTTCATGATCTTCTATCATTTAGATTGATAAAAAATCTTTGTTGAAATGCTTGAAAGCACTTGAAAAGAAGGGATATCTGCATATGTTCCAAACTGTTGTTGTTGAGGAATTTCGATCGAATAAAGTAAATTTTAGTGACGTTATAAAATAAATTAAATTTTTTTAGTGACATTGTTTCTTAATAATGCAGATGTAATATTTCTTCACTGAAATAAAAACAATAGCGATTGATAGAAGCACTTTAATCAAAAATATTATTAATATTATTAATTTTCCATCTAATTTGGTTAAAATATAGTTCAATTTTAGATTTTGGTTATTACCGAAAGTGACATAGCTGAAGCGTCACATCCGGAAATAGAAGCAGCTATACGCGTGATGATCGGTGAATATAATGAAAGGGGACGTGTATTTCCACATGGACAGTTGAGGTTTGTTATAATTATAAAAATGCACAAATTTTGTGGATTTATTGCTTTAATCATTTGAAAATATCTCCGTATTTTTTTTTACAATTTCATATTATTTGTTTCCCATTGCAATTGTTCTTTGCATGTTAAATCAAATTTGAAGCTTCAAGTGAAAATTCATGAATAGTAAATGTATTTTCGAATGCTATTCTAATGTCATGCTGCTGTAATGCAACCAGTTTTTTTTAGCTAAGATTATGTATGCAATGATTTATGATATAATTATAAAGTTTAGAAGTATAATTTTGCAGACTCAGTCGTAAAAAACCAGAGAAAAGTGATGACAGATCATTTGATTTCACCCCAGAAGATGTTGTAAGTTTCTTTCATCATATATTCATTAACAAAGTAAATATCATAACAATACAATATATTACTGTCATTTCTATTATCAGTCCCACATAGCTTTATTATCAAATTTTTTTTTTAATTTTGTTCAAAATACGGTTGTCACCAGTGACTGCCATTTGCAAAGTATATTACAAATAAATAATTTGAAGATGGATGGTTTTTTTTTTACAAACTCGGTTTAGCCAGTGAACATCATCACTTTGTGAAAGAATATTTCTTAGTTCCTATTTTTACAGAAAAGAACATTTCTTAATCCCTATTTTTAGAGACTAATGAAGTCTGTAAAAATAGGAATTTCTGACACTCCAAAAACAGTATCGATTTTTATGAAAAATATTGGTGATCGCAGTAAAATGATTCCCATTGTTTAATGACCTGTCTTGCAGGAAATGCTTGAAAATGACAATTTGAATGAAATGACGATTGACAAAAGACTGGCAATGTTTCGATTGCAAATGATGAGACGCTTATCCATTATTTTTCCTGAGCAGCAATCTTATGTATGAAATTTACCGATCATACATTTGTTGTTTTAACGGCACATTAGTAATGATAGTTTTTTTAATGATTTACTAAATACATTTTTTTATAGTTAGGTGGTTCTGAAAGAATTTATGAGCATTTGCTAACTTGCAAGGGAATTTATATGTAATTTTGTTGTGAGGATAGAGTTTTTGTTTATTGGAACCGATTGTAAAGGGACTTACGATAATCGATTCTATGCATCGACTGCATCAAATAAAAACAAAAAGTATTTAAGATTTAGAAATATATTGCTCTGACTTTAAATATATTTAAAGATTTAATTTCGAGATGATGGCTTTCTGCAGAAATCGCGCTCGTTTTTTCTAGTGATTGAACACTTATTTCAAATATATTTTCTTCTTCTCGTTGCTAATTGTAGGTTAAAAGTTTATCCAGGGATTCAAAAGTTTAACGGAGGGATTTTTTGAAGACAGGAATGGCATTATTTTAGAATAAGAAATTTTGATTTTTTAAATACTTTTTTAAATAAGTAAACCTGATTTTTACCAGTTAATATTCATATTTTTTGATCAAAATGAAACCAAACTGCTTGCTATTGAAAATTATCCTGAAAATGGATTATTTTCTTCTCCCTATGACTTCTTTTTTTATCA